GTATTTTATTTCTCATGTTTGCACAGATAAAAAAAAATAACATGTCATGCAAGTGACTGACAAGTGGCGAAACCATTCTCAGGTGCATGTGGCAGAAAATAAAAAATAAAAATGCAGTTTATGAGACATATGACAATGTGTCAGACCGACAATAGCTGAAGGGTGCTATTATCATCCCCGAGGTAAACTTTCCCAAACTTTTGCCTTTTTAACTTTCCTCCGGAGGAGATGTCGAGCTAAACTCTCTGAAGTGCTGCATTTTGAGAAGTTTCCCCGTTTCTGGGGAACGCTCGCTCTTGTGCTTTGAGAAGGAGAAAATGTCAATGCGCACACATTTGAACAAAAGCAACAAGGATAGAGTGAGAAGTGAAGACGAGCAAAATGTGAAGAGACAAGGTGAGAGAACGAACGAGGTGATATTATTATATTCTATCATTGATTCTGATCATTATAATATAGTAACACTTATAAATATAGTAACACTTAAATAGGGAAGTTATTATTAATATAATGATTTGTAGTAGTAATTGCAGTAGTAATATCAATAGTAAATATCATTGTCCGTAAGCCCTGTTATCATGTAGGACTAATAAAAATACACAAGGAATAATAATAACAATATATTTAACAATACAGAGAGACAGACAGAAAGACGGATATATAGACGGATAGACAGACAGACAGACAGACAGACAGACAGGCAGACAGACGGACGGACGGACGGACGGACGGACGGACGGACAGACAGACGGACGGACAGACAGACAGATGGATGGATCGATTAATGGATAGGATACATGGATGGACGAACGGACGGACGGATGAATGGACTGACAGACTGACAGACAGACTGATTGACGGATGGATGGATGGTCGGATAGGATAGATGGACAGACAAACAGACAGACAGATGGACGGATGGACAGATGGACGGACGGACGGACGGACAGACAGACAGACAGACAGAGGGACGGACGGACGGACGGATGGACAGACAGACAGACTGACAGACAGGTAGATAGATAGATAGATAGATAGATAGATAGACAGACAGACAGACAGACAGACAGACAGACAGACAGACAAACAGACAGACAGGCAGACAGGCAGACAGACAGACAGACAGACAGACAGACAGACAGACAGACAGACAGACAGGCAGACAGACAGACAGATGGACGGATGGATAGATGGATGGTCAGACGGACGAACAGACAGACAGACAGACAGACAGACAGACGGACAGAGGGACGGACGGACGGACGGACGGACGGATGGACAGACAGACAGACTGACAGACAGGTAGATAGATAGATAGATAGATAGATAGACAGACAGACAGACAGACAGACAGACAGACAGACAGGCAGACAGACAGATGGACGGATGGATAGATGGATGGTCAGACGGACGAACAGACAGACAGACAGACAGACAGACAGACAGACAGACAGACAGACGGACAGAGACAGACGGATAGACGGACGGATAAATGGACGGTCAGACGGACGGACGGATGGACAGACAGACAGACAGACAAACAGACAGACAGACAGACAGACAGACAGACAGACAGACAGGCAGACAAACAGACAGACAGACAGACAGACAGACAGACAGACGGACGGAGGGACGGACGGACGGACGGACAGACAGACGGACGGACAGACAGACAGAGACAGATGGATAGACGGACGGATAGATGGACGGTCAGACGGACGGACGGACGGACAGACAGACAGTCAAACAGACAGACAGACAGACAGACAGACAGACAGACAGACAGACAGACAGACAGATAGACCGAAAGTGGTTAAGAATAGTGTTGCTGGAGAAGGAGCCAATTCAATTCAGAGAAGCAGATGCTCAGACCATTACTGTAGATTACATTTAATGAAACAGAATAATTGCTCATCTAAAAAGTACCAGTGTGCTAGCAAAGGAAGCTTTGTAAATGTTGACTTCAGACTTCAAATGGACCTTAATGCTAACATTTAATCAATAATCACCCCGTCATTTCCAGTGTGCTACAGTACTTGCCATACAGCAGTGTCAATACAATTACAACAAAACTGCAAAAGTGTATTTGACACTGATGTATAAAGTAAGACGTCACTGACTGACTCATCATTACACACACAGTAGACGAGGTCAGAACAGGAGGATGAAGAAGATGGAAGAAAAGAACGATGAGCAAAAGCAAAAAAATAAACATTAAACACCAAAACAAAGCGAGCAACAACAGAACAAAAATGAAAAACTAAATAAATTAAAAACTAAATTAAATTAATTTTAAATAAAAATTAAAACTAAATAAATTAACAAAAAAAGTTCTCTAGTTTAGACATTTATTATCAAATTTAGTCAGATGCACACCTTAACAACAACAACAACAATAAGCAAAATAAAAAACTCCACCACCTCGGAAAAGGGTAAGATCATATGTAGTTATAACTTTGTTTTTCTTGGTTAATTGCAATTCTCACAGAATATAAGTGCATGTGTAAAACAATAAAAAAATAAATAAACAAATAAACAAGGTGAACGTGTACCTTGGCTCTAGGGGTCAAACAACAAAAAATAAGGTCAAGAATCTTGGTGTGATTCTGCAGTCAGATCTGAGTTTCAGTAGTGATGTCAAAGCAGTCAGTAAATCAGCATGCTATCATCTCAAAATCATTGCAAGATTTAGATGCTCTGTTTCCAGTGAGAACTCAGAGAAACTTGTTCATGCTTTTATCAGCAGAAGGGTGGATTACTATAATGGAGTCCTCACTGGCCTTCCCCATGCAGCTCATCCAGAACGCTGCTGCCAGGATTCTGACCAGAAGGAGGAAATCAGAGCACATCACAGCTGTCCTCAGGTCTCTACACTGGCTCCCAGTTACACTTAGAAGAGATTTTAAAGTATAACAACTTGTCTGTAAATCACTAAATGGCCTAGGACAGCGGTCCTCAAACTTTTTTCATCAAGTATCACCTCAGAAAAAAATTGTCTCTCCAAGTACCACCATAATGAGCAGTATTGAAATACAGTAGCGTAGTAAGCCCAGTAAAGCAGCTACAGTTCAAAAACGTGGCAGATTAATTCCTATTATTAAGAATATTTATTATTGTCAGAAACTTTAAACATAAAAAGTCTTAACGTTAACACTGTACTGTGCTTATATGTAAAAAAACAGTCAAACTAAGAAAGTCAACATTTAAATTAAAATGTGTAAAAGGTAAAAAGAAAAGAGCTTTACTTAAATGTAAAGTATTAACATATAGTAGCCAATTCATCAACACCTAAAAATGTTGCCTGGACCTCAGAAATATAGGCTATATGTCATATAATGAATATTATTATATTTCATATTCAAATATAAATAAATTTGGATACATTTTGAAATATATGTAGCATGTACATATTACAAATTTAATTCCTCCGCGTACCACTAGAAGGAAGCCTGCGTGCCACTAGTGATACACGTACCACAGTTTGAGAACCATTGGCCTAGGAGTTCAATACATTACAGATATACTCACTGAATACAAACCTAACAGATCACTCAGATCATTAGGATCATATAAACTAGAAATTCCAAGAGTTCAGTCAAAGCAGGGTGAATCATCTTCAGCTACTAACAGCGCCCCCTGCTGCTGGAATCAGCCTCCAGAAATGATCAGATGTGCTCCAACATCAGGCACATTCATTCAAGACTGAACACACATCTGTTTAGCTGTGCCTTTACTGAATGAGCACTGTGCTGCGTCCCACAGATCGCTCTATCATGTCTCTCTTTTCATTCTTTTAAAATCTGTTTTAACACATTTTAATATTCATTACTATTTTTTTCTTGTTTCTTTTATTCTTGTTTATGTAAAGCACTTTAAATTACCATGGTGTATTGAATATGCAATATAAATATACCTGTCTTGTCTTGCCTAAAGGAATAAAAACTGAACTGCATGTGTCACTGATGTGTAAAGTAAGACGTCACCGACTGACTCATCATCATCACACACACATTAGACGAGGTCAGAACAGGAGGATGAAGAAGGAGGAGGAATAAAAGAGGGATGAAAGATGATGGTCTGCGTCAGACACTAAAGAGTGTATTGTTCAGGACTGAGCGCTGGATTGTGAAATGAGGAGCGTGACGGTGAATGGATTGCTCTGCCGACTCCTATTGTCTGGCAGGAGGAGAACCGGAGCTGAGCTTGAGCAAAATCAGGACTGACTTGAAAGAGTCCTGCTGGATGAGGCACGGGGGCTTGAAAATGACATTAACCCCTATTTACAGAAGCACAGGAGTGTGTGTGTGTGTGTGTGTGTATGTGCGCTTGTTTTTATATCCCAGTGGGGACTTAAACCTGAATGCACACAGACTCATGAGGACTTGTGTCACTGTGGGGACCAAAATGTAGGTTCCCATTAGCAAACATGTTTGCATATCAAACAGAATTAAGTATTTAAAATATAAAAATGCAGATTGTTTCCAGTGAGGATTTGTTTAAGGGAAGGTTTTGGGGGAGAGAATATACAGTTTGTATAGTAGAAACATCATTACGTCTATGGCAAATCACCATAAACACAGCTGTACAAGTGTGTGTGTGTGTGTGTGTACTTTGTATTCCTTACAAAGTATGCATCAAATGTCCCCACAAGTATAGCAATACCAGTACATTTTTACCTTATGGGGAGCATATGAGTATGTGTACGCGTATGTCCTTTCTCCCTTTACAGACCCAGAGGGTGTCTCCGGTATCTGGTATGTTTCTGAGTACAAGCTGAATCTTTTCTAATTTATACACACATATATATATATATATATATATATATATATATATATATATATATATATATATATATATATATATATATATATATATATATGTATAAATTATTTCTTTTGTTACAGTGCATTATGTTTAAAAGTCTTATCTTGTCCTCAGAGCAATACTTTAGGTCAGCAGGTCCATCTGAGGCTCTAAAAGGAGAGTTTAAATGCACTTACCCATCATCCTGGCCTTCATGGTGGACCGTGGTGTGTGTTTGTCGACAGGACTCTCGGGATACAGAGACTGAGAGATCCGCCGCTCGTGTTCGTCTCGTGGAGATTGCAGATGCACAGGAGGACTACCCGGAGACTCCTGGGAAGAAGAGGAAGAAGAGACTTTTATTTTTAATCTTTCAGATGCTTTATTTTTCTGGCAGCTTTAGCAAAGATGTACTCACACTAAGCATGGTTGCATTGAACCTTATCTGGGAGTGATAGTCCCCCCTCCCCTCTCCCACTCGGCCTGGACTCACACTGCAATTTTACCTTTTGAGCCCGAGCACGCTTAAATCATCGATGATGGGACTGTTCAGTCAGGAAGAGGAGATGGAGATTGCTTTAGTTCTATTGTTTTGTATTATTTTAGGTGGTTTGGGATGCAGTGACACAGTCAAGTCCTCGTGCTGCTGGTATTAAGACGTTTGCTAAAGGTGACAGTTCGCGTTCATTCAAATGTATTAATGATTAATAAATCTGTATGAAACAGTCCCTTAAAGTCACTGAGATCGCCATAGCAGTGCTCTAACATCAGTTAAAACACCTTGGCATGGATTTAGAAAATCCTCCCTGACCTTGGATGCCAGAGAAGATCAACAGTTTCTAATCCTTTCCATAACACACACACACACACACACACACATCATAGAAATGTACACAGGACTGAACTGATGCTGTTTATGAGGTCTTAATCCGGCGTCCCCTCTGCCTCTCTGTCCTGTAATTACAGCTCTTAATCTGTCACATGTCCAGCGCTCTCCACAGACCCGGACAGCCTCATTAGCCCTCTCCATCGCATCTCTCTCTCTCATTTACTCTGGTATACGACGGAAAGATGAGCCTCTGTCTATGTCAGATCTGTTGTCCTCTCCCACATATTTCCAGACTATTTTTCAAGTGGATTATGACGGCTACATGCGCCCCGAGGCTGTGCAGCTGTGGGTCGAGCTGCTCAAATTTACCCCGTGAATACTGCGCTTTTGAGCCAGTGACAGTTTATTATGTGGCCCATAATGGGTGAATTAATTCTCTCTCAGCGGTGAGAGTAAAGCCACTGAATGGGAACAAGTGCTTTGGTTAAAGGAGGCCAATTCTACACTTTTCAGTCCACTTTTAATATAGTATTAGTCAAGGTTTCTTGCACTTAAAATGTGCTAATTAAGTTGTTCCGGATTATTTTTGACCCTCCCACTGACATTTAGTATTAAAAAAGTTGCTTTGTGTTATCATTCATTCAGACCCTTGTGAAGTTCAAGAAGTTCAGGACAAATGTATTTTTCAAGCATGGCATTAGAAGAACAATTTATATCCATCACTCTACAAGTCCATCCATTGATCCGTAAATCCATCCATCCAACCATCCATCCATCCGTCCATCCGTCTGTCCATCCATCCATCCATCCATCCATCCATCCATCCATCCATCCATCCATCCATCCATCCATCCATCCATCCATCCATCCATCCATCCATCCATCCATCCATCCATAATGTTGTATTTATTGTTCTAAATGTGTATCTATCCAACACTCCATACATCCATCATTCATTTCTTTCTTCCATCATTTGTATTTATTGTTTTATCTTTTTTTTATATATATCATCAATCCATTCATCCATCCATCCATCCATTCTATTAATCTATCCATGTTATTAATTCATTCGTAACCTTAAAAGTTTGTCCATCCATCCATCCATCCATTCTTCTATTGTTGTATTTACTGATCTACATCACAATATATCCACCATTCTACACTTACATTTATCCATCCATCCATCCATCCATGTTATTAATCTATCCATAACCTTAAAATTTTGCCCATCCTTCCTTCCATCCATCCATCTATCTTTCCTTCCATGTATTGTCTACATTACCATCTATTCACCATTCTACACTTGCATTTATCCATCCCTGCATCCATCTATCCATTCATCCATCCATGTTATTAATCCATCCATCCATAACCTTAAAAGTTTGTCCATCAGTCTATCTATCCATCCATCATCCATCCATCTATACATTCATCCATCCATCCATCTATTGTTGTATTTATTTATTGATTGATTACAATCTATCCACCATTCTACACTGGTCTCAATCCATCCATCCATCCATCCATGCATCCATCCATCCATCCATCCATCCATCCATCCATCTATCCATCCATCCATCCATCCATCCATCCATCCATCCATCCATCCATCCATCCATCTATCCATCCATCCATCCATCCATCCATCCATCCATCCACCCATCCATCCATCCATCCCTCCATCCATCCCTCCATCCATCCATCCATCCATCCATCCATCCATCCATCCATCCATCCATCCATCCATCCATCCACCCATCCATCCATCCATCCATCCATCCATCCATCCATCCATCCATCCATCGATGTAATTATAAATCTACATCTCTATCTTCACACCATTATATCCTTGCATACAACCATGTGTAGTGTGTGTGAGGTCTGTATAGTGAGTGAGTGGTGTGTATTGTGTGTGACGAGTATGAGAGGGATGTTTAGTGTGTTTAGAGTGTGAGGGGTGTGTGTAAGCTGTGTGTAGTGTGTGTGTGAAATGTG